AAGGGCCTCTATAGTTGACATATTCCATCTTTTTCACCTCCAATCTATCGTGCCACATGCCTTTGAGGCGACTGTTGAAGTTTTGATAAAGCTCACAGAACTTACATAAAGAACATTGGAGCATGTGCAGGTAACACGAAGCAGGTGCTCGTTTGGTGACAAGCGGTACTTTTCGACAAAATCTAAAAATTATTTATGAGCTTGTTCTTTCGGAATTGCGTCTCTTATTCTATATTATTCAAGATTGAGCGGATACATTCAATTCAAAAATTTGAAAGTGTTGACTATCAACATCGTCTACTCCTTGCAACAGCGTAGCTAAAAACGAAAACTCTACAGTCCTTTACTAAATATATTATAAGAAACATCTTTTTCCGCTGTGATGATATTCTACTAGACACTCCGCAAAAAAGGATTAGGAAATGAAAGACGTACACTGCTGATCCCATTTGGCAATCCATTGCTCAAATTCTTCACAACTCATCGGCCAATGAGGCTCTGAGTTACACAGCCAGCACCAATGGGATTCGCATTCGGGACAGATGCACGACTTGATATCTGCTGAAATGAATAAATTGAAGTTAGCTGGAAGGTTATCAGCGATGCTGAAAGAGAACCCACATATTTTGAAAACCAAGCAAAAAACAAAAGATAACCTTCGGAAGGGATAATCGCCACATCGACGGAACATCGAGGACATTCCGATAGGATGAAGTTGGGTTCACGGAGGCGACGATAATATGAGTAGGACACCTAGAAAAACTAATTTAGCGCAGGATGGATTATACCGAGAAATTGCTGACTGTCATTCGACGATACGGTATGCGTAGAATATAACTAGTGATTGTGAGCTCAATTCAGAAAGAGAAATCCAATCAACCTTTGTCACTTCTGAAATCAGCGGTGCTGGCAGAACTGCATAGAGTAGATCAACACTTGGCAGGTTCCCGGTGGGCGTGAGCTGAAAACAATGACATTCCTGTACTTTGACTAGTCAGAAAGAAGTCAACCCTATTAACAAAAGTATGAATGAAATAGGTAGGTGAGACTATGAAATGAGTGCAGCTCTAGGGATTGTTAAACGCATGGCGTAACCGGAAAAGAACATTCGGCATGTGGTTCTTTGAAAGAAACCTCACGATGGTCGTAGTGTCCTGATATTGTAATGGAATGGAAGGAGTAACGGTGGGAACCATGTAACAAACAACCACTCGGATCTAAAGACACATCCCACGACCAATCACGAAAAAGGGAACCTTCGGAAGGGATAATCGCCACATGGAGTTCAGTGGCTCATTCTTCCCTTTAATAGTTAGATGGACGGGGTAATCTCCTTAGTAGCAGATATCACGCCTCCCGGCTCGTGTGCGATATTCCCCACCTCTTGCCGTGAGAAAAATTGCCAAATGCCTCTCACCGGAATATGGACGGGAGTGCGATTGAGACGCAGCTGATGTACTAGATCCGAAGCTAAGCACTCTCTACAAGCCAATCCATCAGCGGTTTGGAAAAGGTCCGACCGGATCGATGACAATGCAACGACAGCATATAGAAGAGCTCTAAAAGTACTCAGGTAGTCTTGTTAGAAGTATAGGTCAAAATTTGAGGTCAAAAATCCATTTTAAAATCTGTTACAGACTGAAAAGTCGTTTACCTCGAAGGCCGTTGTGCTGAACGATCGATTCGACCTTCCACATACCCTGAGGAGCTTCATCCTATCGTATTCGTGACAGCGGTCTGCCTGAAAATGTAAGGCTGTGAGAATATAGAATCCCTATAAACAAAGCTTGTGAAGAGGAGTTCCTCAAGAGTTTAATTACTATGCTTTCAAAGCGTACAGTAACAATCAGGAACAGTGCACTATGTGTAAGGTGTACTGAATAAGTACACTGTACTGTAATTAAATGGAAGTGGTGTAATGCAAGCGGCGCTACTTACTAGGCGCGCGTTCCAGGGATCAAATCCTGGATGCTTCGTCCAGAGCAACTCCCATATCCAACTTCGGGGGATGAGGTGAATGATACCAAAGTGGTCTGAGGGTATAGAAACAGTGGTCTGTATGCAGGCTAGCAAGTCACTGTGTTGGCCAAATCGCATTCAAAATGCCACCATGATTCTGACGAAAGCAGAATGCGTGGCGCACCCCAAAAGAAGCCCGACCACGCTCGGTGCTTTATTCTTTTACCCTTCTACACTATGCTGGTGGTATACATAAGAAGCAAATACATAAGGAGCTCACAAACAAAGGGAACTAACCTTCACTGCTAGCGCATCACTGTTAACTTCCGAAGCGAAGTATCCTGGATTGTCTGAACAGCGAGATTTTTCCTTGGGGGTCATCGAGTTCTCTGGAAAGTCTACCACTTAGGCCTCTGTTGAAGTTTTTATTTCAGCTACAAACCTCAACCTCAGCGATCTCACTGTTTCTGTAATAAATCGGAAAAGCGACATGAAATCCTTCTGACGCTTAGCGCCTTGAATGAGGGCTTCTCGATTCACATCATTCCGATATCGAGCATTCGCATTGATTCTGACCCTAAAGAGCGACCTTTAAAACACAGACGAACTCATTCAATCCAGGGAAACTTTCAACTTTTACTAGGCAATAAGTGCAGTAGCGAGAAGAAAATCAGCGCATCAGGCGTTTCATAGGAAGATTTCTGTGAAAAAGTGTGTACCTTTGAGTGAGCGTCCACGTCCCGCCAGCTCTTAAAAAGAGGCAAGCAACGGCTATTACCAAGGTTTCGTCACCACTGAGACGGGCCTGATACGTGGCGTCAACCATAACTCGTTCCTCGTCGATCTGTCGAACAACCACACGTTCTTGTTTAAGGAGTGAGATCTGAAATAAAAGATTCCTTCGGAGGCTTATGAGCATCAATACAAGAAAAAAGATAAATGGTTACCGTGGGTTCACAAAAATCGAAGTTCTGCAATTTTCGTGTTTCGAAGTCGACGACTTCAAATACGGTATTGGCATTGGTAATTGCAGAGATGTCGACAAGGTCAGCTGGTTTTGGTTGAGCACTCTGAATGATTTTCGTGTACCGAAGTGTGAGGCAATCCTAAGGCCGCGTTCATAGTTCGCGACTCCGGAGATAGGATAATACGCGACAATGAAAAACATGTGGAGAGCAGTAGATTGCGATATTACGATAGTAGGATAGAGTAGAGTAGGAGATCAATTAGTATAGTAGATTAGAGATAAGTGCGTGAGACAAGGATTAGATATATGTTTTGATTATTCGCTTTTGAATCGGCCCAATCAATTACGAATCAATCGGTACTCTCCAGCGATATAAATCGATACGTATCCAATCTTATGAGCGGAATCTCCTACCTAATCTCCCGAGTCGCGAACTATGAACGCGGCCTAAGGTGACTACTCCACTAACCTCTGCTGAAGGGTCAGGCTGTGAATCAACAAAGCTCCAGCTGCTTGATTTTCTTGCGCGTCTACGAGAAACACTCTTTGAAGACGCACCATTCACCAGAAAGTCACCTAGCGTAAACGATGGCCTAAAAAATATATAGCTTCGTTTCGCTGAATAAGATTCTGCTGACCATTTTCGAGCAATTTACTCTCATTTCATGCAAAATAGCTATTTTGCATGAAATGCAAAATAGGTTACCTAGGATCATCTGCAGGTTCTGCTACCATATCCATTTTGATATCAGTTTTGTGGTCAGTATCAATCTCGTGGGACGCAATGGAGTCGGACTCCAGGTGCCGGGATTTCGTGGCCCGCGCTCCTTTCTTGTTATCTGTAAAAAAGTATTTCCATGGGGCTCTACATGAAAAAGGGTCCACGCCTGGAGATACACAACACTTATAGGATAGGAGACAAAATGGGTCCGTCAAAAAAGATTTACTTCGTTGGGTTTCTCCAGCGAGAATACTGGGATGGGGTTCGATGACGTTGACGAGAATTCTTGCCGGTTCGACTGCATCTTTGTCCGCATGCTTTTTCTCCTCTTAGGGCCGCTCGGAAGTGTGAAAACTGAAAGAGGCACCCCAAATATTATAGAGCACACCAGCATTAAGTAACAATTAAATTGATCCGAAATACTGGCTGAAAAGTTGAAGAAACTGACTTTTTGTCCTTTGCCCTTTGTGGAGATTGTGGTGACGGTTCCATTATCCTCCACGTGGACGTCTGATACGTTAAGGTTCTCGATAACAGCGAAACCTTTAAAATTCAATTCAATTTATATTTTTGTTATTTACAGCGGAGAGAAGAGAATCATGCCATAGAAAAGAAAGGAAGGAGGTAAGAATGAAGGGCGGAGGATCATCGTCTTAGAACTTACGACGAGATGTGATGACTCGATTCACCACGAGAACCTCAAGATCAGAGCGACGATTGTCGTTCAGCAACGTTGGTACGCTGAGCTAAAAGAATACAATATCATATTTACCCTCTATATTCTACTTACTAATATAAGCGCTTCATCTGTCCGCTAATTTCTGTCTATTAACCTGTTCCTCACGAAATTTGGGAATTTCCTGAGAATTTACCTGTAGGGACCGGGTCAGATCTGAGACGGACAGTGAAGGGCGAAGATGGAAGAAACGCACACCAGCCAAGTGGAAACCTAGTCAAGATGGGCGGAGCATGCGCCGAAGTGGGCGGTACCGACGGCAAAACTTTCGAGTTTAGTTCGGAACATCCTAAAGGCAGGATAAGGGCTAATAGTGCGCAATGAGTGGCTAGGTTAAATTAGGAAGACCCAAACGTGGTGGGCGGGGTTCCTCACTGAACTTATCATTCGTTCGGGACTGCCTAGATATCGGGACAAAGTGACATGTAAGCCGCAACTCTCGTCACGTATAATGGAAGCTATACGACGGAAAGAAGTTTGGGCTGCACTTCTACAGGGTGGTCCAAAATTATGAGGACCAAGACATTGTGTCGTTAAAAACGCATAGTAGCTTGATGGAACAAACCAACTTCTGGGAAGTATTTGTAACTCTTACCTCAAAGTAATTCCAGAATAGAATTGAGATCTGCCACTTCCCCCGTTAACACGAGCCTTCGGATGAGGGGGATGGCGCGTGCGGTGGCACGCAACTAAGGCGTGTCCAAATGTTTCCAGGCCTTCTGCTCTGCCTTCTTCAGGGAATCAAACTTTTGTGTTGCATTTATTTGCGCTTGCATCCAGGGTGTGAAATACAGAAATCTAGAGCTATTAGGTGGATGGTTCCATTGTAACAATTCTTCGAAAGCAACGAACTCGAAAAATCGCTTTTTGGAGGATTTTTGCTTTATTCTTGGGTGCTCGGTCCTGTAAGAAGTTCTAAGTAGACTACTCGTGTGGCTTTCTATCCACTACAGATGTGGAGTCTTTAGAGTGTCTGGCTGGGTTTTCACATCAATTTTTTCATTTTGGGTGTACGAAAGTCGACAAGGGGAGACCTAGTTTCTGCATCTGATAATTATCCTGGTGGTAACTGTAACTTTCGAGTCCCCGAATTTTCCATCTGTGGTGGTTCCAAACTTATTGAAGAGTTGAACTGTTGCTCATAAGGGCTTCTCTGATAGGTTAGACTGCTGCTAGATGTAACGTGCCAGAGCCCCTAGTGAGTTCAATTTGAGGACTGACTCAAAGTGAAGTAGTTATTTCACTAGTTTTGAGAACTTCATGAAATTTGGTTTCATTAGGAAGAAGACATTGTACCCTTTCACATAGTGCACAGAAAACGAGATGAAAATGGAGCGATACGGAAAAAAGTGGATACTGCGCGCGCACGCGGTCCTCATAATTTTGGACCACCCTGTACATTGCCCAAGCCTCGTATGACGGGCTCGTTAGCGTTCAGAAGTGCAATTCAGAAGGTATTGAATCAAAGACTCCTTCTTTTCGGGAGATGAGAAGAGCGTTGAGTGCAGACACACACCACAAGTGACGACGGCCGAGAAAAAAGTGGCTTTTTTCTTGGCCGTCGTCATTTGTGGTGTGTGGTCTGCACTCGACGCTCTTCTCGTCTTCCGAAGTAGAGGGTCTAGAAGTTGATATCGTGGCCAAGGTTGAGTAGCCCAAAATAATTCGCTGGATGAAGCTATGCCTGGTCCACTCCATCGCGGTCAGCCGACTGGCACTAGGCCTGCCCTTGATTGTATAAGCTCCCATGTGAACAATGTACCCGCTATTACTGTATTTACACTCGATATCCGAAAGTTGGGGTGGCGTGTCACCGGAAGTGACGTGCACTTGATAGAAGCTATGTGGATAAGCTGCTTCCAACATACATCGCTGGATATCAGCAAAGCATGCTGGCAACAGCTTATCCACGCAACTTCTATCAAGTGCACGTCACTTCCGGTGACACACCTACCCCAACTTTCGGATATCGAGTATATAAGCGGAACAGATTCTTTTTTCAAGTCGAACTTCGAACCCTATCTAGTTTTTTTTTCTCCAGCTTTTTTTTCTGGTTATGCATATGCTTTTTTATCCAACGCAGTTCTAAGGGCTGTGGACACTCTCTGGAACTGCAATGGCTGAATAGTAAATATCCTAACTATTACTTACAGTTTTCCATCGCTGTTGTTTGTTTAAGGAGTACTGCACGTTTGGTTGAAGATCGTTCCAACTCTCATTTTTCAGAAGGCGCTTCTTTGCTCTCTGAAAAAGGCCTTCGACATCCGACTGCCCGGCTTGTTCAACAAAATTCCATAGACATGCTGTGATGCAACAGCTCAACACTTACATTACTCAGGGTATCACCAGGATCGTAGAGGGTCTTGGAGACAATCACGTGATTAGCTAATTTCTTGCGAAGAAGAGCGTCGCCCTTCCGATATCGTCGACCCAGCTGCCCCGATTTCTTCGCCAGGTCGTGAGGTCTAGAAAGCGGACTTTCAAAATGGTATAATCACTCGGAATGAGTGAATAAAAACAATTACCCGAAGATGTTCTCCTGCTCCTCGCAAAACGACATTGTTTATTCGTCTCTACAAAATAATTGCGCTGATTCTGGCAAAAGCGAAAAGCGAAAATCAAAACGAAAGATAAGAGACAGTCATCGATAGGAAACTTCAGAAGGTGATGGCAACCGGGCTCACGCCAAATTCTCTTAGCTTCTTGAAAAAATAACGCCATGGCAAACAATTCGAAAGAAGTTCTTCATGAAGAATGAGGGTGTTCCAACTCATTTTCGCTGCCCTTGCTAGAGCCACATGGTTGTGGGCGAAAAAAACAATACTGACGAATTTTTCGCAAGTATGCTAAGTTGCGGGCAAACATTCTCCGATTCGTTCCCGGATCTCTTGCTTTTCGAGTAACTGAGCAACAAGATACACCACCGGGGCATCTTTTCACTCCAGCTCAGATTTGATGGTAAACTTAACATTGCTTATCATTACAGATTCTACCAACGAAGCTTAACCCATAACGGACGGCGTGCGCCACAAGGGTGGCGCACGATTATTTCTTTTGTTTTTGGAATGTTTCTAGCAATCTTAATATACCCGTATATACTCTCAGCAATGTGGAATAACATATCTTCCCAGGACCTGGACGACTGGATTTTTGACAAACCTACAATAAATTTTACATACATTTTGTCTTAATTTACATAAGTTTACTATTTGATGGGTGGCTTACCCATGGTTCGCACGTCCCGAGACCCCTTCCCCTAAATATAGCCACATCCTTGCTCGGGGTTGTTGTTTCGCATTTTTCGATAATGTCACCTACAGCTTCCATTCATTCTTTGCACCCTAGTTTTAGAGCGGAAAGGCGGGTTACGAACTTGTCGTCAACGGAAATCTCTTCTTTTGGATGATGAGACACGGACACCTACTTTAGCCCCGTCTTAACCCTGCTGTTCGCATAAGCCTACATAAACCCTACCCTGGGTGGCGGCGTGCGCCACATGGTGGCGCACGCGAAAAATACACTGGCCGTCCGTTATGGGTTAATTGTGGAGAAATGGTGCCCCGGTTATGTAACTCGTGGCACAATTGTTCGGAAAGCAAGAGAGAGATCCGGGAATGAATCCCAGCTGTAGCGAAAGGTTTGCCCATAGCTCAGCATTCTTGTGATAACTTTTGCAACGCGAATTGCGGCGTAAAACAGCACTTATCCAACAAACACTAAAAAATAGCAAACATTTTTGGCTAATAATTAGAGGCGAAAGTGGTGCAGGGACAAGCGCGCACAACCAGCTTATTCAGGGGTCATACCCAGGGTCAACCGCCCGTTGCGTAAAGAACAGGGGGTCGTATTTGATCAATTCAAGGAGGGGAGTCGTGGCCTCAATACCATCAAACATTTGTAGATGCCAAGGCATCGGCTACGTGGAAAGGAGGAACAGAAAATTTTGAGTACGCATTTCGCGCTTACCGCCACCACAATTGATTTTTGTTCTTTTAGTGGTTGGTTCCACCTAGAACAGACTTGCTTACCAGCAATATGTACGGTTACACGCAGCACGCAAAGCAAATTCCTTGGGAGGAACTGTCCATTTCTTTATTGCTAAAGACATCAAATGAGGCAAAATTGCAGCACTCGAAATCCAGCTCATTAACCATTAGGGTTCTCAAAAAAAAAAGAAATCTCCGGCAGAAGATCCTTTCAGGGTAATCTGGCACATTTTATGAAAAATTGATCTTACTGATATCAACGGCTTTACCGCATCTCAATCTACAGATTTTGAAGAAACTTATGGCCATTTGCGAGTTAAGTCGTGTTTCAGGAGAATGGCCTAGAAAAGCAAATGGAGAGAAACCGGAACAACGTCGACGATGTTCAAGAGGTCGAGGCAATCAAGAAGATTTGAAATTTTTCTAGAAGCGTCAGCCTTCTAGTTTCTAATTAGCTTTGGAGATCTGCAAAAAGGTAATAATGAAGAATTCAGGAACCAAAAAAGGAACGGGACGATTTTCAAAAAATTGAACATTCGCTAAATTTAAAAAAAAATTCTTAAAAAGAAAACAATCTGGGATTTTTATATTTTCGTATGCCATCTCGTGAGACCGCTTTTGCAATGAAATATAGCCTTTTGAATGAAGAGGTTTATCGTAGTTGCTGCAAGGTTTAGTTATTCAGATTATATTTAAAAGTTATAAATCATTTATTATTATTTTATTTTTTTTATTTTATCATTATTAATTATTATTCAATACTTATAATTCATTATATAAAAAAATGAGTGGCCATTCGAAAGAAAGCTTCGGATGTTTTTGAAAATAGAAATCTCTGCGATTACTACCGTGCCCAGATTTGCGCAAAACTTCGGAGATTACGTTATCTAACGAATAAAATTTCATGTTGCCTCGATTCCCGTCCTCTGAGGGAGACAAAGCGCGCAGACTTATCACGTCTCCATGTCGGTGAGTACTGGGTCATACTGATATTGTAAATTTTTAAATCTGCGCAACGCACGGTTGACCCCTGATTACACCTTGGACAAAAGCACTTAGCCTTTCATTCTCGGTCGTCGAAACAGCACGTATTGATGTAGGAGGATGAGGCACTGACTTTTACAGTGACTGGTTTCTGCAACTCTTTATAAAGGGCCAACTTACATTTTGCTCATTACGATTCTGAAAGGTGTGGAAATGTGTGGCGCATCTTGCGAAAGGTTTGGTCAACAAATAACCGCATCATTCCTCATCATATTTAGTTTTCGTATCTTTACCAACGATAGGTTCTTAAAGAAATGCTGTTGGAAAGACAAGAAAATTTAGGAAGCTTTTCGTGCGTCTCCCCCGGAGAAAAGACAGCCACGGCCACAGAGATTGCTCGGAATTGCAACTTTGCCCTCCTCTAGCGCTCCGGCTCACTACAGCGGAGACCTCCCAGTAGTTGTATAGTAACCATTCCCATAAAAGACGCACGAGAAGTTCGAGGCGCAATGTGGCTCGGGGGGGCACTCTGAGAAAAGTCATCTAGGACTAAGCCTAAACAGCAGGGACGAACTCCGGAGAATACGAAAATTGCTTCCGTACACCGGAGTTCCTCTCCTCTTCAAAAGCTTAGTCCTAAAACGAGCGTTTCCGTGATTTTGACGCGATGTTGCGAGGTGCCCCCGAAGCCACATTGCGCCCGTTTCGATTCCATGTAGGTGGCTTCTTTAGAGTAAGGGGGAGCCTTCCTCGAAAGGCACACACAAAGTTTACAATGAAGCAGTCGATAAAATTGTACATGTAGAAAATAAATACTAAAGCTCAAAACAATGAAATCATGTAAATACTAAAGAGTTAAGGAAACAGGTCTTCGAAGATGAAGAAGATGGGACATATGACTTGAATCGATGAATGAAATATTCGGGCGAATTTTATAGGGTGTCTGCATATCGCCAATGTTCTGCAGATAATGATCGCACGTGGCCTGGATGACTCATACTGGGACAACTCATTGCCCTGTTGCCACACAACGCGACTTCTGCTTTGTGAGCTTTTCTGTCTGCAAAACAGTGATATGAATGTGTTACAACACAACCAAAATTACTAAACTATTGCCTGATTAACGGCAAGTGAATGGTGTACCTGAGTTAGGAGGAAAAGTAGGGACCGACGCGGCGACGCCGGCGCGCTGTATTGTGTGCCGCCGTCTAACAAGTAGGTCTTGTCCGGAAATGCCCGCTTTGTCCGAAGTGGTTTTCGCATGATATAGGGGAACATGCATAGAACAGAGAGCAGTCCATATTCCTGAGGGGCACTCTGAATACTAAAAAAGGGATGACGAAGTGGTTCGTGGTTCGAATCCTCGCAGTTACAGTTTTTTTGTGTTTTGTTTTGGCGTTTCAAGAGTTGCGCAGAATGACGTCAGCGGAAACAACTTATGACGTACCTGTAATTAGGACCATAGCAACCTATTGAGTTGTCCCATAATTTCTGGCCGAATTTCGACACATTGATTTCTCCAAGTTTTGTCTCTCCTAAAAAACAATTTATCAAAAATATAACAACTATATAATACACTGATGCATGCATTTGCTGGGAAATTGGGCGAAATTCGCCTAGATTGGGTGGCAGCCGTGCACTGGGCAAATCATGGGGGCGGCTTGCTATAACCCGAGCTTATGCTAGGTTCAGTCCCAAATTGTCGTAAGGCATAGTTGTTGAGTTTGGTCGTTGTTCTAGTTCAATTCCTACCTAATTACCCCGTTGCGCATTTGAGCTTCTGAAACATCCTGGCTGAAGGTCCTGATGTGTTCTTCAACATATCAACTTATTTCGATATGAAGCTAATTTGACATGAAAATTGAATTTGAACCAAAATCGGCCAGAAATTATGGGATCAACCCAATATACGTAGACTTCGTGGCTAAAAGACCGGTAAGGAAAATTTAAGAACGGCAATTCCTGAACACACGTTGGGGATGACGTTGGTTTGGAGGGCTCTCGCCATCTTGCGCCTTCTTGGCGCTATCTTGGCGCCACGAATATCTCCCTTGTCAGATTCGACAAAGATTCATTAAGAACATTGCGAAACAACAACCCTGAGCGAGAATAGTGGTTGGCACGCGTGGATCATGGGTGAGCGATGAATCGAATAGAAAAAGTTGCAGTATAAAGACAAATTGTACATGAAATTTTTGTAAGTTTGTCAAAAAGTTCTAGCCGCTCTAGGTCCTGCGAACATATTAATATTCATATCACTGAGAAGTAGAGCCTTGGTTTGTTTTGAAGGTGAAACTCCAGTTCGGGGGGGGGCACTCCATTTTTTCTCCAATACTCAAGATAAGGATTAGAGGGCTCACGACACGTAATCGTACTCATTTAAAGAACTGGGACGGTAGCAAACCTTCATTAATTCAGACTTAACGTGTCGAGATTAGCTCAGACCAAAGTCAGTTTAGATAACTGGTTCAGAGCGCTTCTCAACACATTAAGTCTTGTTTAACCTACAGTTAGATCATAACCAAAAAAACCAATTTGACTTGAAGTTAGACAGTTAACTTGTAAACCTAATTCCTAACTAATCAGAGAA